CTAGTAAAATATAGGGCACTCATATAATTTTAAGATTTGGATATGCAACAAAAAATGTTTTAGTGTAAGTATGTCTGCTATGGTCTGAAAGCTGGTATTCCTCTCAAATTCATATGTTGGAACTTAATTTCCAGTGTGATGGTATTAAGAGGTGAGGACTTCTGGGAAATAAGTAAGTTATGAGGATTTCACCCACATGAATAGGACTAGTGCCCTTATCAAAGACGTTGAAGGGAGGTGCCTTGCCATGTCCATGTGAGAACATCTATGAGGAACAGGCCTTGATCAGACACCAGATCTTCTGAGGCCTTGATCTTGGAATTCCCAGCTTCCAGAATTGTGAGCAATACATTTCCATTGTTTATGAATTACCCAGTCTAAAATATTTTGTTATAGCAGCTGGAACAGACTAGGACAATGTCCCATGCAATATTTGAGATAATTTATATTAAAAATATTTTATTGTTTATCTAAATTCAAATTTAACTGAGAATATGACATTTTCTCTGATAACTTTATGAGGAAAAGTACACTGTATTAAAAGTAACCTCACAACAGAGGCTTAGAAGCTAGACTGAAATCTGAAGAGCATGATGAGTTAATGTGGTAGAGATAAGTTGGGGCAGGTTGCCAAAGGGGACTGATGATTAAAGTTTGCTGGGGATAGATGTGGTTTGGGGCTTATGTAAAATGAGGCTGCAGAAGTGAGCAGAGGCCAGACCCCCTAGGGCTCTGAAGGCCATGCAAAGTTTTTCAGTCTTTATTGCATTCAATTGATCTGTCATCACAATGTTCCTTCCGCAAATGCCCTTCCTTTCATTGACACCAAATATATAACTGTCTCCATGAAGTTGTTCCCAACCACCCATGTCACTCACTCCTATGACTTTTACCAAAGAAGTCAGTCCTCTTTAGGTCTGTCTTGCCAAACAGAATGGTATTTCACAGCAGATACTTGGTAAACATTAAAGGGGAAAACATAGCTTAGAAAGCCCATGCATTCTGGGTTCTTGCTAAGCTATCTAGTACGAATTTAAGTGCTTCTGCACATGTGGTTTCCCTAGTGATAACATCTAACTCACTCAGCAGCACATTCTGGTCTCAACCATGGAACCATTAACTTAGAATGTCTAGAATGGGGCTCAGAAATTCTGACTTAAAAAAGCTCCCCATGAAAGTATGATATATAAAACTATTTGAGAATCACTGGTCTATTTGGCTACTCTAGGATTCTAATTCATAGGATTTCCAAATAGTAGAAAACAAGAGAAAGCTCTTGTTTCATTTGCCATAAATCTCACTGTACTCTTGACATGTAAGAGGGTTCAAGATTGTCGGAAGACTAAAGCCCATCTGATAGCATCCAGTCTTAATCATTTGTACTATATACTATCTCTGGGAAAAGATGTAGGAAGCATATGGTGCATTAGGTGGTCAACGAAAATGTTTTAAATGTCAAATCAAATTTATCTATCTTCTTTATATTAAGCAGAAATTATTTTTCAAATTTGATCCCTAAAATTTTTAATTCATACATCTAATGACATAATACAAAATCTAATAGACCATTTATCTACAAAAACAGAGCCTGTAGCTTCATGTAAAATTTCAACATGAGCTAATTAAAACAAACAAACAAACGCTTTTTCTATACTACTTATAAGCGAAGTTCAAACTTAAAATGTAGCTCATCATATATTTCTCTGTTTCCTGGAGAGAAAGAATATTAGGACTAGAAAGCACCAAACCATCCAATCCATCCTGTCCATTTATTTCATTTTGTTCAATTCTACTCAATGGGGAAGCCATCCTGAAATGCAAATACTACTGCTGTCCCTAATTAGGAGGGGTTGTTTGTGTAAAATAAAATGTGTCTCAGTATTCCATTAAGGCATATTTCCAGCAAAAATTAAAATGGTAGCTTCATTCCTGTTGTTATTCTCAGCTGTCTCAAATAAAGAAACAGTCTCCAAATTCAAACCACTGCAACATTTTACGCTGGTTGCTCAACTGTGCAGAGACTGAAAAGCAAAACAAAAGCAAAAACAATGTGGCAATGTTGCATCAAAACTACATAACACCTGCCAGGGGTGCCTTTCCTGGGTTTACAAATAGACTTCATTGAAATGATGAGTTTGTGTTTAAATGGAGAATAATATGTATGCTGTGAACCACAGTCAAACAGGAACCTCACCAACATGGGACCGAGAAGTACGCTGTTGAATTGTAGGTTTTCCCCTGATATAGCTGCACAGAATGAGGCATTTCGCTTTCACTACTCACAGAAATCTATCATTATATGGAGTAATATGAATAACAACAGTGGGCTGGTTAAGGAGGCATTTTGACAAATTACATGCTTTTATTCATACAATATGTCATCAAGTTTGCTTAACATTCCTAATTATAGGAAATGGGTTTTCTGGTACTTGTCCTCATGTGATATTTTGCACATTATGATGCTTTTGCTGTAATCTCCTGGAGATTGGGAACTGCATCTTATTATTTGAAGCATTTCCACAATTAAGGAATATGATAGGGTTAAAAATAAATAGGACTTTTACTACAAGTTCTTAGGCACGTCTGCTTCTCAGATCAGAGAAGCTACTTTCACTGTCATTGAGTCATGAAAAATAAATCTGATTTCTCCACTACATCAACGAAACACTCAAATGTGATCCAGAGCTTCTTTTTTTCCTTCTCCAGACGGTCAGCTGCTAATGGCATTAGATTGCATATTAGACTGTTAGGAAAAGTCTATTGTCTGCATTTGCTGTCATTGAGGTCCAAATTTTATTAAAGAAACAATGCTGGGAAGTCTATATAATTTTTTAAAACAGAAAATTGTGTGTGTGTGTGTGTGTGTGTGTGTGTGTGTGTGTGTAGGGGCCTTGTTTACTAGTATTTTCCATTCATAAAGAATTTGTATTTGCAAAGTCAAAGCTCTCTTAAATTACCTCTTTTGTCTTCAAAACAACCCTGTAAGGTACATAAGAGCTAGTATAAGCTATTTTTCACAATTCTCAAAGGTGGAAGATAAACCCAAGAGGCTGAGTAACCTGCACAAGGTGACATAACACAATATTTAAGAAAATGGTGACAAGCATCTATGTCTCTGGGTTCCTTGATAACTGCTTTTCTTCCTCCCTCCGTTTCTTTCTTTCTTCTTTCCCAACCCAGCCCCCTTTCATTCATTTTGCCTATATACTGCAGATTTGGGCTCCTTCAGTAAAGCCAGTAGAAAAACTTTGTCATTGGGTTTCCAGAAAGTGGCCTTTAAAATAAGAATAGAATGGATCCGGATCGTGGATTCGGTTTACTATTTTCCACCGGAGAGTGTATTATAAGTGGTGTTTTTAACGCGTGTTTTTATGCCATGAAAGAGGAATGCGGCACATTGTTTTGTAAGACATTCTTCAACCCCACTTAGAGGCCAGGCCTCCTGCCAAAAATCCTGAAGAATGGTGGCGCAATGGGTTGGCATTACAGAACCCTACGAACCTCAATACCTAGGCGTTCACATGAAAACTTGCCACGAGCACGAGGCCTTTCGTAACTTACCATAAAAAATGAGTGAACGCCTAAGAGATTAGTGCCACATTCTTCAAAATTAAGGATAAGAATTAAACGGAAACTACCGCGCTCTCAGCTAAGTATGAAGGGAGTAGTTTCAGCAGGAGAGGAGACCATCAGGCATCCCTGTCTTGGAGCCTTAAAAGGCTCCCCATATTCTCGGATCCCCGGGGAGCGCCCGGTCGCTGCGGCGCCTTCCCGGCATTGCGGCGCACTGCGGAGCCGCCTGCCCGCCTGGGCCGTGGGGGCTTTCCTCGCCGCCACGCGTCGCCGCAATCCTCCCGCACCCCACGGCCCCGCGGGGTCGCCACTGTCTGCGCAGGGCGCGCCGCGGGGCATCCATCAACCGAGAGCCTTTGACGCACACATGCGCGCTCCCAGACGGAGACTCCGCCGCCTGCCCCCACCCGCCACCCTGGCCCGCCCCTCGCGGGTCTGCATTTGCATCACTCACACACGTAGCGGGTGACGCGAGCGCCCCCCGCTCCTGCCGTCCAGGCGGCACCTCCAGCCCCTGTGACTCAGCCCCTCCCCCTCCGCCTCCGCGCGTCGCCGAAGGTCCCCGCAAGCCCATAGATCTCCCGATCGTTCATCTGCCACGAGGTGCTGGCTGCTCCAAGCCAAGTTCATCCCCAGATTCCGCAGTCCCCCTGGGCCCAGCCCGGGGCGCTTCCTGCGAAGCTTTGGAGGAAAGTCTTCCCAGTTCTAGAACCCAGGCGGAGGGGAAAAAGCCCACTAAGACAAAGAGTCAGAGAAAGGGTAGGCTGATGGCCTGCACTGCCCTCATCGCCATCTGAAATCACCTCCGTAGCTTATTTACCGGGAACGCTCCCTCTCCCCTCCGGGCTTCACAGCCTTCGGTCGGCTGCGCCTCGCTTGGAGCACAGTAGGCGCCGAGTGGGTTTTTGCTGAATGAAGGCGTTGTGTAGGAAGTGCAGGCGCTGACAAAGAGCCTCAGCCCCGCGGGCACCCCTGCTCTCCAGCCCTCTCTGGCTCCGGCTTAGACGCTACACAGGCGCTTCGGGAATGTAGGTGGGAGAGTTTGAACATTCCTGGTGTTTCTTTCAGGTTCCCTCAGCACTTACTGCGGCTGCCTCTGCTCTCCCGCCACCCGCACATCTGCAGCGGAATCCCCGTTGAAAAGTTGAACCTAAGGCTGCTATGAAGGTACAGGTCCCAGTACCCAGCCCGGGGCTCCAGGATGCTGGATGTGAATCTACCTATCCCTTCTCGTCGAATCACACAAGCAAAAAAGAACCTGGCGGTCCCTGCAGACTCGCCCCTGCATCCCCGCTGTTGCCCACTCACCTCCCCTGGAAATCCGGCATAAAGTGTGACCCAGTCCCCAGACCTACCATAGCGAACCAGGAGTCACTGTGTCTATTGTACCCCGGCTTTCCCGGTTCCTCCCCAACAAAGGTGCTTACCCAGCAGCCGGCACCTGCAGCCGCTTCTCCGGGGGCAGGCGGGGCAAAGTTGCGCTTCTGAAAGGCAGCAAAAACTTCCCCAGGCTGCAGCGCCCGGCCACCAGTCGGGAAGAGAAATCCGGCAGCGGGGGAAAGTCTCCCCGCGGATGCCCGCCTCGCCTCCCCGACTCACCGCTCCAGCCGTCGGAGACCCTTGCTCTGAGTGGCTTCAGCACTGCAGCCGCTTCCGTGCGGCCGCCGCTCCGGCTCGCTTCCCTGGGCAGCCTCCGTCTGCCACTCTCTCCTGCTGCGCGCGGAGTGGTGACTCCTCTGAGCGTGTCAGCGGCGAGAGGAGGGGCGGGAAAGTGGCTCCCGGCTTGCACGCTGCGGTCCTCCTCCCCTCCTCCGCCCGCCTCCTCCCCCCGGTGCTGCAGTGCCGGGCGGCGGCTTGGCGAGAGTACGAGCGGTGCACAGGGAGTCACGGCTCGCGGGGGGAGGCGAGCGCCGCGCACCACTCGCCGTGCTCGGGGAAGTCGCGGTGCCGAGGCGCTGCTGCGGTGCGGGCCTGGGGCGGGGGGCGAGGGGCAGGGAGGCAGAGCTGCCTCCAAGTGGTAGGTACTTCTGGAGAAGTCAGGACTCCGAGTTTGTAGCAGGTGAAGGAGGGGGGCGCCGGTGCTCAATTAGTCTCCGACTGTGACTGTGCGTTGCGCACTTGGCGGCGCCCCGGGTCAGGTCCAGCCAGACGGGAGGGAATTCTGACTGCTGGGCTCTGTTAGCACCGGGCCAAAGAGGGTTTGTATTCTATTTCTGGGCCTGGGATGGACTTGCTCACTTTGTCTTGGCTTCCAGGGAGCAACCAGGCAGAGCTAGATTGCCCATTTCCCCCAGCCCCCACCCCGACGCTGGCAGACAAGTCCAGAGGAAACTTGGGCACAGCAAGAACAAACCGAAGAAAACTTCGCTGGGTTAAGTCCAGTGTCTCCCCGGTGCTAGGCAGGGCCAGACAGCTGGGCTCACAGGAAGACATTGACAGTGGCCCCTTAGGGAGAAACAACCGAGTGTGTGTGTGTGTGTGTGTGTGTGTGTGTGTGTGTGTGTGTGTGTGAGAGAGAGAGAGAGAGAGAGAGAGAGAGAGAGAGAGAAAGAAAGAAAGAGATTGCCACACCCAAGCCTGGCGCACCCACCCCGCAACAGCATCGGAGGGCGTCACCCTCCCAGGCCTTTCGACGCGGACCCTGCCATCCGGATCCAGATCTTGCAGAAAGCAGGGCATTTCCACGTCCCTGACTCCTATAGCTCCGCGCACTCATGGAACCCCTGTGGAGTGGGAAGCGGTCACACAGGCATGTGCCTTCTCCAAAATCGTAGCTCCTGTGGTGGGGACCCAAAGCGAGACAAAGCGCGGCGCCAGTACGGGCTGCAGTGGTTGGAACTTAAACACACACATCTCTCCGCGAATGTGTTCCATCTGTGTAAATAGGTGATTGAACGGATGGCTGAATGAATGCTGTGTGGATAGAAATATAAATGCTACATGTATAATACAGGCGCCCAGGAAGGAGAGCTATCAGGCATCCCCAGCCTGGAGCCTCCTGCCCGGAGGATCCTGTGGGACCAGGCGGTGTGCCCAGGGCAGTGTGGAAAGCACTTGGGCTTTCCAATTTGATTTGTGCCACTATGCAGGATACTGTGAAGAAAAGAAAATGGAGACAACTCTTGGCCTTTCATTTTCCCTCCTCTCTGGTTCAGACACTCTGGAACTTTAAGATTCTCATGTCCTGTTGAGCCTACACTTCCTGAGCTGGTCTTTCTTGTTCTGGTGAGAGGTTTTCCTGTCTGTAACTGTAGGCGGTGCTATGAGATGGTCAGGCAACATGAAAATTAGTGAAGTGCTCATTTTCTTTTCATGGATTCTTCTTAATCAAATAATTATTTAAATAGTTAAAGAATTTAACTAGGTAATCATTTAGGCAACAATTAACGTGCTGCTACTATGACAAGGAAGTGCCTATGAATCCTGCCTTGGAAATACACTTGTGAAATTTAAAAATAACAAATCTTATCTGGATTTCCCACACGTTATTTATAAAAAATTTATAAATAATTTTTAAATAAAATTTATTTATATAAAAAATAAAGAGAACCGGAGTTCTCACACGGGAGAACCTCTCCCAAGCTGTTGCAGAATAATGGATTGTTTCTCCAAGTTACGGAAGTTAAGAAAACCATGAAACAAACCTTAAAAACAATCAGTGTGTGCTTTATGCTATGCTTGTCTTCCTTAAATCATTCTCCTATGTTGTCCGTGGAAGATATTTTTAAAAGTGGATTGATTTTTCTGCCGCTGGATTTTCTTGTCTTGATGCATTTGAAGGTAATAGTTCCTTCTTTGTGTGCTTCTGATTGTGTGTTTGCAGGAAACATTCCATTTAAGAGCAGGTTGTACCGGAAAAGGCTATTTTAACATTGTCTCTTTGGATTACAGGAAACACTTTGTCATGATGATGTTGTGCCGTGGTTCCTGGACTTGCCCTCTAAAGCAGTTCTGTTCTAGGGTCCTGCCTGGCACACACCTTCGCCCCAGGCCCTTTGGATTCAGCACTCAGACTAGTCTTATTCACACCTTCATTATAAGGAAATGTTTTCTCTCTTCTGAAAACACTTGTCTTGTAGAAGCAGATGGAGGAAAAGTGGGTACACCTGCCCTGTCCCCACAGAATCCCAGTGCTCTAAAGTCATTGCCGTCCTACACATTAGGACTTTTCTTCCTCAACGCAATGTCTTCTTGTGGTGCTAAAAAAAAAACAAGCTATGAAAGACACGTAATGAGTTAAGAGAGGTCTGTTTTTGCATCTGCAAAGTGATTTTGACAAAATAATAATTCACACTAGATACAGATGCTATAGTGATTGTATTTACACAAGAAGCATGTGCCTAGAACATAATGGGTATACAATAAATGTTAGTCGCTCTTCCTCTTTTAGTAGTTGGAGCAAGGTTTTCCAAAGGCTGTGCTTTGGAGAACACTGGTTGTGTAAGATGCCCTGGAAAGTCAGAGTTATACCTGGCTTCACAGCAGAGGTCTCAAGAGAGCCCCATGTTCTCAGACTAAGTCTGCACCTCTCCACTCCTCACCGTCATCAGGAATCTATAGCAAAATGCAGACACCGACCCTTCTTATCCCAACACTCAGCTTCCACAACACTCAACGCTATTTTTCGTCTCTTTTTTCATTTTAAGTATTACTATTTATTTTTTCAAAAAGTCTTCTTATAAGCACCAAATTTTAATATCTAAGTCCATTTTGGGGGAAAGAAACGCTATTAAGAACTTCCCTTCGGACAAAACAATGAAGTTCATTCTTCCAAACATCCAAATTGAAAGTCTACCACAAACAAAACAAAACAAGCCCACAGAGAAACAAAAAGTAACAAAAATCACATTCTAGGGGGTTAGTGCATCTGGCAGTCTTTGCTATGCTGTCCAACCATCTTTCAGCTGACTTTCAAAAAATAACACCCTCAGCTCATCAAAATAAACATTTGCCATTTGCTTTTTCTCGGAGATGAAGTCTCACTCTGTTGCCCAGGCTGGAGTGCAATGGCAGGATCTCAGCTCATTGCAACCTCTGCCTTCTGGGTTCAAACGATTCTCCTGCCTCAGTCTCTCAAGTAGCTGGGATTACAGGTGGCCACCACCATGTCCAGCTATTTTTTGTATTTTTAGTAGAGACAGGGTTTGCCCATATTGACCAGACTAGTCTCGAACTCATGACCTCAGGTAATCTGCCCACCTCAGCCTCCCAAAGTGCTGCGATTACAGGCACGAGCCACTGCACCCGGCCTGCCATTTGCTTTTTAGAATTAAAAATAATAATTAAAAAGGAAAACTTCAAGGAATTCACAATTAATTGCCTGACTTGTTTCAATGTCATGTACAGCATATGGAGGTCCAAAAAGGCTATTTGCAGCACATGTGATTAGAGGATATTCATCTTTAACGTTTAGCCTTCTTCCAGACAGGGTAAAATACCCACAATTCAAAGTTTGAAGGGACATAGACAATCTCCTTTGAGAATTCCACAAGGCAATATAGGCACCCGAGATGTTCTTCATAGAGTGGCAGGGCTCCTGTCAGACTGACCAAGTTTCCCTATGTAAAATATTTCCTATTCTGTTTCGATATGTTCATTGATGGGTCAAAATTCAGTCTGAGAAACTTCCACATGGAATCTTGTTCCAGAGTTATGGAGATTGGAACACCTGTCAAATCATTAGTCATATAATCAAATTCTCTCCCTTCTTCAGTGTGCCTCTTCAGTATTGGAATACAGTCTTCTCTCAGAGCCTGATAGCAGTCTCCTTTAAGATTGTCTATGACATCACCACACGTTTTTTGCATATATTTCTTACATCCATCAATCACCATTAGGTCAATCTCTACCATAGTGACCATCTTTGATTTTAGTTTGACCATTTCACACATTAAGTCCCCATCTCAGCCTCTGAGAATCAATCAGTACATCTTTGCCAGTGTAACCTTCTTCGCTGCTGCCCATGATGGGCCAGGTATATGCCAAATCACTGCCAAATTAACATCTCCACTAAGGATGTGAATATTTCCAAATTGCTTCTAGTGTAGAATTTTAATGTTCCAAAAAGGTGAATCTTTATTGTACACCATTTCATCTATGTCATATTCAACCAGGCGCCCATTGGCAGTGGACCAATGTCTGTTGATGGCCCCTCTTCAAACTATGAATGGTAATCACTTCACCAGCCCAGTACTGCCTTCACTCAATTCTTTCATTCTTTTTTCTACTTTGTCCAAAAGGCTGATGATCTCTTCTTTGCCCTGAGAGTCATCATTGTAACTCTGAAGGTCCAACAACACCAATCCATGTGGGCAAATTCTCAAATTAGCAAAGATGCTGTTTTTGTGTTTCCATTTGTGTAGGTTGCTGAATAGCCATGGTCCTGCCAGGTGTGCACCAGCTCTGCCATCCCCTGCTCCTGGAAAACAGACTGGAGGCCTTTTAGAATCGCCTCACCATTAGCTTTGGCACTGAGTGTGAAGTTGATAGGGAGGTGAGGCCCTCCCTGTGCCATGCCTGGAGGAGGTGGCTGAGGGAGCCTGGGTGGGTGGGGTTGCGCCCATGTC